GGTGCAGTGAACAGAGAGCTCACTTTAATCCTGGTTCAATCTGACAACGAACCACTGATAATCTAGCCCTCATTCCCCATAAAATGAAGTACACCTGCACGCAGGCAACTGGGAGTAGCTACTTCTATGCAGTCTTGGTTGCTGATAGGAGAAATGTTCGAAGCTGCTATGCCCGCCTGTCACTTGGTGTACCTGCCGTTTGAGTTACAGTCATTCCTCAGATCGCAAGGCCACCATCAGCTGGGCCAGTGAGACACGCGAGTAATGTGTTTGTAAAATCCATGCAGGAAAGAGACACTATGTGTTCCTGCATGTGATGTACAAAGAGTATAACCTGAACACTCGTGCTACAGTGGTGCTGCCATTTACTTATTTACTGTATTGTGTAAATCCACAATTATTTGTTGGGTAACATCATTTTACAGCAATTAAAAATTTAGGTTATTTTAGCATCTGCTTTTACGATCAACTACCCCAGTTTAGACAAAGAATATATGGTCACACTACCAAAACAAAATACCTTACTTTCTATCACATTATAATGAACTCTATTAGGGAATGTGTAGATATAATTGCATAACGCATCCCTTGGGTTCTCAAGACCACGAGCCCACCCCGGCTGGTGTGGCTCAGTACATTAAGCGCAGGCTTCGAACCAAAGATCACTGGTTCCATTCCTGGTGAGGGCACATGCCTGAGTTGCAGGCCAGGTCCCAGTGGGGGCCAAGTGACAGGCAACCACACATGGATGTCTCTCTCCCTCTCTTTCTCCCTCTCCCTTCCCCTCTCTCTAAAAATAAATAAATCTTTAAAAAAAACCCATGAACCCAAAGCTGTGACGACGCACTGACAAGCAAAGCCACTAATATCACATTAGTACTAAATATTTTTAAATTTATTTTTAGAGAAAAAGGGCAGGAGGAAGAAAAACACTGATGTGTGAGAGAAACATTGGCTGCTTCTCGCACACCACCAACCGGTGATCTGGCCCACAACCCAGGCATGTGCCCTGACTGGGAAATCAAACTTGTGACATTTTGGTTCACAAGCTGGCACTCAATCCACTGAGCCACACCAGCCAGGCATAACTGCTATGATTCTTGAGCAAATACAGAAAAAATCTCTATTCCACAATAAGCATGGAAAAAAAGAGTATTCTATATAATCCAGAACAATATATGCTATATAAAGTTTCAAAATTCTATAGAAAGGTTCAAAATTCTATAAAACAATCACCCTTTTTACTGTTGTTGGTTCACAAAGTACTTCAGAATTATGTATTAACCCTGCAGATTTCATTGATTTTGAGCATCTAAACAAAGTTTAGGTTAGTAGGAATCATGAAAAAAGTTTAAGTACTAAAATGGAGGAAATTTTTACCACTGCAGACAGCAAACACTATATCAAACTGTATCCTTTGGAATATTACTCATTAAATTGCCCTAAAAACATTACCAAACACACTTGAACAAGTATGAGACGAGTCTATTTTTTTCAAATCCTAGAAAGACAACTATTTTCCTTAAGTGACAAGCTGGCCCATACTAAAGGCAAGGCCATCCGAAGTTCCTGCAAAAATTTCAAAACCTTCCAAGTCCAAGAACAGAAAATAAAAGTCATTGCTTTTGTCTGTAACATCTCTTCCATTTCTAGATGAATATCTTGATGGAACAAAATCTGAAGCAAAAAAAAAAATCTTTGACCTTTGAAAAAATGTACTATAGGATTATCAAAAAAGGACAGTTAATTCTCAATGCATCCCAGATAAAAAACCTCAGGTCATCTTTCCATTAAATTACAAAACTTATACTTTAGCCCTAGCTGGTGTGGCTCAGTGGACTGAGTGTCGACCTACGAACTGAAAGGTCACTGGTTCGATTCCCAGTCAGGGCACATGGCTGGGTTGCAGCTGGGGCCTCAGCTGGGTACAGGCAGGAGGCGACCCATCAGTGTCTCTCACACACTGATGTTTCTCTCCTCTTTCTCCCTCCTTTCCCGTTTCTAAATAAATAAAAACTTAAATAAGTAGTAAAATTCTTTTAAAAATCCTTATACTTTAAAATGCAAAATTTAAATTTACAACATCAGTAAGCATTTATCCAACCACCTTAATCCAAGTATGATACGCCCTTAGTTAATATTTTAGTGAAGATGGTAGGACAAGTCTCACTTCTACTCCAACCGAGTAAGAGTCTGGGGCTTGGTAGGGTCGTAAGGTGGAAAACTTGACAAGCAGCCCCAAGAACACAACTCTGATAATCCTGCCTTAATAAAAGTGAAAAAAGTTATGACGTCTAATACTTGACACTTACACGTATTTTCATAGACACCACTGAACAGCTGTGAAAATTTTTAAGAGAATCACTGACTGCCTATGCTTTTGTTTATATTGAGTAAGATACTAACTAAATAACATTTGTTAAGGAAACAAAAATACCTGCTTTGGATGGTTAACCAAAGTAGCCCTGAAGTAAAAGAAAAGCTGGTTTCCAACCCCAGCTATGTTTTTTCAGTGTAATGCGCTGGAGCACATAAAGTGCTTTCCAGCTCTGAAATGACACTTTGTGGCTAAAACTAATCGAAACAGCCCAAACGCTTTTATAGAGTTTAGGTCTCTCCCAACTTTCTATCAGGTTAAAAAAAAAGTCATTCTACAAAGTCCTGATAAAAATTGAAATATGCCAGAATAAAAATCAAAATCAGCTCTTTCCTCACTTTAATTTATGAACTAAGATTACACACACACTACTGTCAGAGGCACAACTGATGTACAAACTAAGCTTGGGTCCAGTATTTGTGTGTGTTGCACCACAGAGGGAAAGGTGGTTCAGGGGTAAGCTATGGAAAATAGATGCCTACTCAGATTTCCAGGTGGATCTCAAATATATCTTATTTCACCAACTTAATTATTCATATTTCCCATATTTAAAGATGTTCTCACTTGAAATGTTCCCTGTGATCAATGCACATCATGGTTTAATTGTAAGGTTTTTTTCCCCCTTAGGAATACATGAAATAATCACAGATTTGATGAAATAGGTATTTCCCTGGATTGCTCCTCTTGAAAATGCTTCTAATTCTGTCTATATCTTAATGTTAGTGTAGCAAAACAAACAAACAAACCACTCTTGATTATGCTATAAAACATAAAGGACCTTTGAATAAAAATAAGTTAATCAACAATTCACCTGAGAAATATAGCAAACTGCTCAATATACTCTTTAAAATTCAAGTTGGACAAAACAAACAAAAAATACCAGCAAGGAAAAAAATAGTGTATGTTCTCTACTCCTGAGACTGATAAAGTAATTTGGAAACAGAAACTTGAACTTTCTTCTGTTAATTTTGTGAAAATACTTTTTTCAAATGACCATAAACTTTGCAAAATTAGGATGGAGTCCTCCTAATATAGTCATTTCCTCTATCAGGACAAAGCTGAATCTTTCCAATGAGCATTAGACTCAAAGTAAAAGAAGAAAAAAAGCTGTTAACTAGTGAACAGGAAAGAGCTGTACACTGAGGTTTACATTCTGAGGTTAGAAGCTAAACAGTCTGAGTGTCTTCATTCACCTATTAATTCAGAGAAAGAGCTCCAACAAGTCCGGGCATCGGTTTCCTCGGTTTAAGAGTATGTATCAGCTAGCCACCTTACAATCTTTACACATTTTGTTCAACCAACACTGTCTGAATGTTTACTAAATACCAGGCAAGCATTAATGGAGTGGACCCACTAAAATGTGACCCTTAAGAACCACTTCTGTAAGGGAATACTGCCTATATGAGACATTCCTGCATGACTTACAAACCCAATTGGCACCTGACGTTTAAAATCCACACACCTGAATGAAATTCAATAAAGCAGTTTCTTAACGCCAGGCCCTAAATAGCGTACAGGTGGTACACCTTACTCAAGTAAATCTTAATTTAAAACTACGCCGTTTCCCGCTGACGAAACTTAGTGAGGGTCTGAAAGAATTCCAGACCGACTTAAATTGTGAGACAGAAATGAAAGCGAAGGCGCTCAATTCAGAAGCGAGACGAAAGGGGTCTAAGGGAAAAGTGAGATGGAGGTGGCGAGAAGCGCTGCAGGGCCCAAACAGGCTATCCCCAATCCGAACATCAACTAAGCAACTTTTCCAGCACCCCGGGACAGCAGACTCCCCCAGTGCTCCGGCGTGGTGGCGGAGGCTGGCGTCCCAGGGACCGCTCCCCACGCTCCCCACGCCGGGAGCCGGTCCCACAGCAAAGAAACGAATAAAATCCCCACTGAGCTGGTGGGGGCGGGGTTGCAAACGCTCCTTTCCTCGGAGGATGGGGGAGGGGAAGGGAGTGAGCGACCCTCGGGCCACCGGTCCAGATCTGGCCCGGGAGGAGGGGGGGTGGGTGCTGCAATCAGGGGGCCTCGCTGCCAAGGCCCCCAAGGCTGGCGTGCGGGAACGAGGAGGGCCACCCAGGACAGGCGGGAAACGGGGTGGCGGGAAGACGAGAGAATGGCCCAGCTCGATCGCCGCACGCGAGGCCAGGACCCTGCCTTGCCTTCGGCGGGCCCCGGGATCTCACAAAAGGCCCCCAGCCTCCTGAAGGGACGGGCTGAGGGTTGAGGAACCCCACACACAACCTCCCACACACACCCCCGCTCGCCTCACTACCCCCACACTCGGGCCGCGCTCCGCGGGCTCGGCGCCCCACAGCGGCGCGGGGGAGCCAGGGCCGGCAGCGTGGCCGTAGGGAGCTGACGCCCTCCCCGACGCCCGGCGCTCAGAGGGCGCAGGAACCCCGACACGCAGAGAAAATCAACAAAGCACCTGCCGCTCTTGAGAATACATGCCACAGGCCCCTGACCCGTGGCTCCCCGACGCGCCGCTGCCCCGGCAGCAGGGCTGCGCTGACGGTTTTGGGGGAGGGGGCGGGGAAGGTGCCCGCGCGGTGGCTCGCTGGCCCCTGAGCCAAGCCTCCGTCGGGAAGCGTTGAGGGAGGGGACCCCCATGCCAGAGACTGACCTTGGAGTCTCCGTTGCACAGAGCCATCGGGGCCGGTGCCGCGGCAGCTAGAGTATGAGACGGGGCGGGATAGGGCCGACCGAGTCGATGCCACGAGCTGCGAATGAGAAAAGGGCCTGGTTGAAGAGCGGAAGGGCGCGGAGAGAAGCTGGCTGCCTGCGAGGCACCCAATGCTGTAGCAGCAGCGAAGCACGGGCCCCAGCGCCGCGGGAGAGGAGACCAGCAGCGCACACGATACCCCCCACCTCCTGCTTCCGCCCGGGCCGGCCACTGGGAGGAGCCAGAGCCCGTTTGGCCCCGCAGGCGAGTCGCGGGAAGCCCCCGACTTGCCGCTGCGGCTAAATAGGCAGGGCTTTCAGCGCTGGGCCCCTCCTCCAGGCCCGCCCCGCCGCAGGGACTGGCTCTCTGGAGAAGAAACCCGCCCAGTCTCGCCTGCCCGCCTACAGGAGGAGTGGCCTGCCCCGCAGTGCCTCGCTCCTGGGCCAGATCCCGACCCGCCTCCGTCTGGCCCGACCCCGGGGAGAGGAGCTGGAGGCGCCGGATGGCTCCGCCCCTCCCACGCCCGCTCGGGACTGACGACCCAAGGAGGAGGGATCAGAGGTGCCCCGCCCCATCCCCCCCCCGCGGTTCGAGCCAGCCCGGGAGGAAAACCGAAGCCACTCCAGCTTCAGGTTCTCCTGCTTACCTAGCACTGGCGCCGCCGAGTTGGAGAGCTTAAAGAGCTGGGCCTGTGGGGTAACTCATATCCAGTGCGCGGCCTCATGTCAGGTTTGGGGACGTGGAGGAGGCCGAGACTGCTTTGAAGAGTTTGGTGTTTACGTCTCAAGGGATGTCAAAGTGAGATATGACCACTTAGGTCCCTTGAAAGTTCCACAATGGGTACAAAATTTTTAAAAGGGAGACATTTGGGAGCGGCAGTCAGGTGGGAAGCTGGGCCATGGGACTAGTGATGAAGCTCAGTTTGCACAGCAATATTTTTATTTAGATTGCTTGAAGAGAATGGCTTGCAGACCCTTCAGCTACTCTTTGGCTCCCGTCAAGACGAGCTATTGCTTTGAATTTGGTCACCTGAGGGTCTAAATTGGGGTTGGGGAATAAATAAAAACTCATGAAATGGCTTCCAGTTAGCAAAGCTTTTGAACAAATATTCAATTATAAAAAGTCAAATTTGCTGATCTCATGCTGTGTCAGCATCTAGTCCAGGTATTAAGGACTGAAAGTGAGACAACTCTGACCTCCCAAACCTCATTTTATTCTAACCAATCCCATGAAATTAGTAAGGTAGAATTGATGTTCGTGTCAACTTTTTAACTAATGAGGAAATTGAGGCTTCAGTTAATGTGCCTCTCTTGGTGCAGGATAATGAGGACCTGATCTGGGAAAGTTTAACAGTACAATATATACGGGAACAGAAGTCCCAAGACTCTAGTGGGCCTCTGACTAATCAAGTGTTTCTGAAAAATGGGTACTTGAACTTTATTTAGACAGACGCGGATACTGGATTCTGTTGGTAGTCTGTACAACAATCCAGAGAATAGTGTAATAACCAATAGAAACCCCCCCCAACTTGCATCAATATTCACCCAGAATGGAATGAAATGTAATGTGCCAGCCAGTGTTAAAAACCGGCTAAATCCCATCTATGTTAGATAATGCCTAGATTCAACATATTCCAGTGGTCACATGTGTTTGTGGCTAAGAATATCAGCATATACCAAAATCTTATATCTTATGTTCTTCTGCAACTTTTGACTGTATTGAGCCCTCTTTCTTGAAACTGGATTTTCCTTAAAATATGTCATAGAGGTATCTTTTCATATCTAGGATTGTACTTGGTCACCTTTTCTCGCCCTTCTTCCTGTATCTATCCTATAGGAGGAGACTTAAGTGATGGTTTTCTTAAGGATTTCCATTTCTAACCCCTTCTCATCTTTCTCTCCACTTATGTTTCTCTGTGGCATTTGTTTAAATGTGTAGGCTTGCTTAAAAATAACCTTAATAGGTTCTATGTTTTGACAGTTCTCTTCTGAGCTCCAAATCCTTACTACTTTACACATCCCCAGTTAGATGTTCAGTGGCATCTTGGGCCCCAAACTCAAGTCCAAAACGGAAGCTCCCAAATTTCTGTGCCCAATCTCACTGGCACTGTGATAATAGAGGAAAATATTCAGTCTTTCACCCATAAGCTACAAGTTTCTCATAGATGCCCTATATCAAATTAAAGAAGTTCCCTTCTAGTTTTGCCAAAAACTTTTATCGTGAATGTATATCATTGAACGTTTTTTTCTGTGTCTGTTGAGATAATCATATGGTTTTGCTTTTTTGATTTATTAATGTGATAAATGACATTGATCAATTTTGAAATGTTAAACCAGCCCTCCCATCTTGGGATAAATTTAAAGAAATCATGAGGTATTTGCCTTTTTTGAATTGGATTGTATTTGCTAAAATTTTGACTTTGAATTTTTGCACCTATGTTCATGAGGAACATCAATTTGTAGTTTTCTTGTAATGACAACCAGTTTTTCTTGACTGGTTTTGGTATCAGGGTAATGCTGGCCTCAAAGAATGAAGTTAAGAGTTTGTGTAGAATGGACTTCTGGCCAAGATGGAGGCATAGGTAGACACACCGTGCCTCCTTGCACAACCAAAAGGAGGACAACAAATTTAAAAACAAAAAAATAACCAGAAGTGACAGAACATCTAACTGTATGGAAGTCCGACAACCAAGGAGTTAAAGAAGGAACATTCATCCAGACTGGTAGGAGCGGTGGAGGTGGCAGCCGGGTGGAGAGGAGTCATGGCAAGGTGGCGGCTGGCGGACTGGGGGAGTGTTGGAAACTGCTCTGCCTGGTTTCAGGAATTGCAACCATTTAAGGCTGAGTGTGTGACCTCCAGAATGCAAGCCACTGAGGAGACAAGGCTTGTCTGTGGCAGCAGATGCTGCCCCTGCTTCATCCCCCTGCTCCCAAAGCATGGTTGGAAGTCAATGATGGGTAAGACCCTGGGGGGGTGGGCAACCTAAGCCAGACACAATCACTTGGGAGGCTATCATGACAGGACTTGGGAGGGGGGGATATGACAAGGAGGAAGTGATGGGCCCTCACCGCCCCCATGGGCTGCTCTAATATAGCCAGGTCCCCATGTCTTGTGGGAGAAGCGCTTCCTGGCTCTAATCCACTTAAGCCTGAAAACCTGTGATGGGAAAGATGGTGCAACCTTTCACCAGCTAGCTCAGGGCCTGAGTAATCTAGCAAGATAAAGAATTCTTAACAAACCTATGAGATCTGCTAGGAATGGTTTTAGTTAAATGTTTTTATTTTCCCATAGTTTTATAGCCTTTTATTTGATACATCTTGATTTAAGGACAAGCCCTAATGGTTCTTTGTATACTATCTACTGTTTACTGTGTATCCATGATTAATAAGCTTGTACCTGAATGCCTGTGAAAAAAAAAAAAAACAGTAAAAGCCTGTCTAGGAAAAACGTACGTGGCACTCTCCCCTAGAGAGAGTGTCCTGCCCTTTCCTCCACAGGATTCAACAGTCCGTGTGAATTTGTCTTGATCATCCATAACTACTCGGGCACTGCTGGTCAGTTCACATGTGAGGGGAGGCAGTGGCTTGTGGACTGGGCAGTCCCACATTGACGTGTAGATAAACCAGGAAGAACAACTGGGGAGAGAGAGACAGACCACACAACCCAGGGCTCCTGTACAGAGAAATAAAGCCTCAAAACATCTGATTGAAAACACCTGTGGGGGTTAAGGCAGCAGCAGGAGAAACTCCCAGCCTCACAGAAGAGTTCATTGGAGAGACCCACAGGCTTCTGTAATGTATACAAACCCACCCACATGGGAATCAGCACCAGAAGGGCCCAATTTGCTTTTTAGTTGTGGGGAAAGTGACTGAAAACCAGCAAAGAGCAGAACACTGTTCCCTCTCAGACCCCTCCCCCTACCTACAGCATCACAATGCAGCCACGTGGATTGCCCTGCCCTGATGAACACCTAAGGCTCTGCCCCTTACTATGTGACAGGCATGCTGAGCCCCCCAAAAAATAAATAAATAAAAGGCCCAAATGAAAGAACAAATCAAAGCTCCAGAAATAATACAACTAAGCAATGAAGAAGTAGCCAACCTATCAGATGCACAGTTCAAAACACTGGTAATCAGGATGCTCACAGAATTGGTTGAATATGGTCGCAAAATAGATTTTAAAAAAAGTGAAGGCTGTGCTAAGTGAAATAAAGGAAAATGTATAGGGACCCAACAGTGATGGGAAGGGAACTCGGACTCAAATCAACAGTGTGGACCAGAAGGAATAAAAAAACATTCAACCAGAACAGAATGAAGAAACAAGCATTCAAAAAAATGAGGAGAGGCTTAGGAACCTCCAGGACATCTTTAAACATTCCAACATCTGAATCATAGGGGTACCAGAAGGAGAAGAGGAAGAGCAAGAAATGGAAAACTTATTTGAACACATAATGATGGAGAACTTCTCCAATCTGGCAAAGAAAATAGACTTCCAGGAAGTCCAGGAAGCTAAGAGAGTCCCAAAGAAGTTGGACCCAAGGAGGAACACACCAAGGCACATAATAATTACATTACCCAAGATTAAAGATAAGGGGAGAATCTTAAAAGCAGCAAGAGAAAAGGAGATAATTACCTACAAAGGAGCTCCCATAAGACTGTCAACTGATTTCTCAAAAGAAACCTTGCAGGCAGGAAGGGGCTGGAAAGTATTCAAAGTCATGAAAGGCAAGGATCTACATCCAAGATTACTCTACCCAGCAAAGTTATCATTTAGAATGGAAGGGCAGATAAAGTGCTTCCCCGATAGGTAGGGTCAAGTTAAAGGAGTTCATCATCATCAAGCCCTTATTATATGAAATGTTAAAGGGACTTACCTAAGAAAAAGAAGAAAATCAGAAATACAAATAGTAAAATGACATCAAACTCACAACTATCAACAACTGAACTTAAAAACAGAAACAAACTAAGCAAACAACTAGAACAGGAACAGAATGAAGATCACATGGAGGATTATCAGTGGGGAAGGGGAGTGGAGAATAGGGGAATAAGAGGCATAAATGGTAAGTAGAAAATAGACTGGGGGAGGTTAAGAATAGTATAGGAAATGTGGAAGCCAAAGAACTTATATGTATGACCCATGGACATGAACTAAAAGGGAGGGAATGCAGGTGGGAGGGGGTGTGCAGGGCGGTATAGAGAACCTGTCCGTGTGACATGACAAATGTAGTCCAGCCCCTGGTTCAGAAAACCGGCAAACAGGGAGTCAGCACACAGGAACCAAGCCCACAG